GTTTCTAAAACAACTATTCAAATCAAAACTCACTCGTGAAGCCGTATACCTAGTTCAATGCACTATGTTCACTCTACTTTGGGTTGTAACCCTAATTTTTCCCGGTTCAAAACTATTATTGGGCTAGGAATCATTTATTAGGCCTAATGGGCCAATAAATTCTCAATTGAATTATTTTGGGCTAATAATCCTCATTTGGGGCTTAAATGGATTTACATGCATTAAACTATAACATTTTGGGCCATAAGACTTTTCATGGGCCTTATTGGGCCTAAAATGTCTCACTTTGTTGTCATGGGCCTTAATGGGATGTGAATGGTTTCTTGAACCTTACTGGGCCAAAAACCCATTAACCTTGCTCTTTTTGGGTCGTAAACTCGCATAAGGGCCCAAAGGGCCAAAAAATCTTATTGGGCAAACATACTCTCGATCTTTACAAGCACAATTTCAGCCTAACACCAAATTTCTCTCATTCTCTCACTTATCCTCGGTTTTAAAAAAAAAGTAATAAGAGGATAATTAGGGTGTTGCCACCTCACTAATGTTTAGTGGTAATCCAAGCAACAAATCTCATGTTTCTAGAACTCTAAACCTTCATGTAATAACCATTTCATTCTCTCTCTTTCTTTTTTCTTAACTCACGGCCAAGATGCATCCCCCCACTCTCATCTTTTTTTCATTACAACTTCACCAAAAACTCTCTCTAGAACTCCAAGAATTCACCCATCCTATCTCTCCAAATTTTGTATGTGTCCAAGAATACTTCATCAAATACCATCATCTTGGTAAGCTACTTCTGATCAAGATGTTTAACTTCATGTTCATGTTAAACTTACTTCTCTTAACACTCCATTTCATGATCCATGTCCCTTAGAAACCTCATAAATTTGAGATCTACTCAAAGGGAGCTTTCTAGAGCCAAAAACTCCTCCAATCTTCTTCCAAAAACGATCCATCAACCCTAATGTGAGTTCATACCCCCTATTTTCGGTTTTTACTTTGTTTTGGGGGAGAATACAAGTTGCTTTGTGTAGATCTATGTGTTTAAGCATGATTATGTGTGTTTTACTATGTTAAATGTTGTGTTTATGTGTTGGAACTCCATAAATTTCGATAGATCTACTAAAATATGGTGATATTGGTAAACAAAAACACTCCATGCAACTTAATATGAAGATGAAAGGATTAAAACATGCTAAAGATGTTTGAAACTAAGAAAAATCGTGTAAAGGGCCAAAAAAATTGACAAAATAAACAAAAAATGAGGATCTTTTGTCAACTCACGATTTTAAGAGGACTAAAAGAGTCACTTTTAAACAAAAATGGGTCTGTATGATATTCATGGTTTTAACAGGGTCAAAAGTGTAAATTTTCACAAAATAGGCCTTCACGGTTTTTATGGGCTAAACTTGTAAATTTTGGCTTTTATGATTTAAATTATCATTTTAGACAAATTTGAGCCAAAAATGTAAGTTTTCGGTTAAAAGGGCCGAAAATGTAAATTTATTTAAACTTGGGCCAAAAAGTTAAATTTATATAGAATTGGGCCGAAAATGTCAATTTTCATAAAATTGGGGCCAAAAGTGTTATTTCTAACAAAAAGGGGCTAGAAATGCTATTTCGTTTAAAACAAGCCTAAAAATGTAAACTTTTGGTCTTAAAGGACCTAAAGTGTTAGTTTTACCAAAAATGTGCCTTAGTTGTAAATTTTTGGTTTTAATGACCAAAAATGTCTTTTTACAAAAAGTGGGCATTTTATGTCATTTTGGCAAACAATTAAGCTTAACCAACAACATAACAACAAACGGATTAATTACGTCATTTACACTTTTAATTGGGCCCAGAATATACATTACATGTTTATTGGCTTTAATGGTCCATTTACATGCTTGTTGGGCCTGAAATATCCATTTACATGCTTATTAGGCTTGGAATATACATTACATGTTTATTGGGCCTTAGTGGTCCATTTACATGCTTGTTAGGCCTGGAATATCTATTTACATGCTTATTGGGTCTGGAATACACATTACATGTTTATTGGGCCTTTGTAACCCATATACATGCTTGTAGGGTCTGAACATACATTACATGTTCATTGGGCCATTGTGGTCCATCTACATGCTTGTTGACTTCACACATTCACTTAGATACTCGTTGGGCCTTGAAAACTAAATACATACATGGAAACAATACATACTATGCAATTCAATATTCGCGTAAATTCAGTTAAGGCTTTTGTGAGACATTTCGTTTGATACATATCTAGTGTACAACCGTAGCCTGTAGTTATAACAGAGTCTCGTAGAGGGAGAGCGAGAGTTTGTGTATAGATCTATATGGGGTTGACACCCCACAACTGAGTTGTTCGCTATAGTTAGACTAGGCCAGTCTAGGGTGACAAACCTTACCTTAAATAAGACGACGTCTGAAAAACGTCATGACGAGCGGATCAGTCATTATCAAATATGGTTATAACGACTCACAAAGAAATTAACTCCACTATAAAATTTAAGGAATACATAAACAATTCTACAATTATAATTCTATACAAACACCATCCTACGGTCTTTGGGTTTTAATACTATAACACTTTTGCAAGCAGAAAATATCGGATTTTCTGGGAAAAACTTATGCTATACATCACCTTGTACTTACACAGAAAACATGAGATTTTCTGGAATACTTCCCTTATACATTTTCAAAACACACATGCTTTAATACAAGATTTGATACAAAGCGTTCAAACCATTTACTTCTTTTACAGAAAATATCGGATTTTCTAGTGTTTACAAAGCAATACAGACTTTTCATACAAATACATTTATAAACTCACCAACATTATATATGTTGACCGTTTTCAAAACAACTTGTATTCTCAGGAAATCGTTAAGCAGGTGGACATCAAGGTCATGTGGAAATTTGTTGCATTTTGTTGCTATTATAAACATTGATATTTTGGGATGTAACTCATGTAAACAATTACAATGATTTAAACTCTGTATTGTTGTATTATTTCTCGTGTGATGATGACGCATGCTTTGTTTCAATTATATTCACTGTGATGATATTACAAGATGAAGTCACCCCAACCCCAGGACGCTTCCACCGTACTCTCCGATTCGGGGGTGTAACAAACACTTTGTGTTGACTAACTCGCCGAGTCAACCTTTCGACTCGCCGAGTTCTATAGCTCAGAAATCCTGAAATCGCGACTCAACTCGCTGAGTCATTCCACCGACTCGTCGAGTCCTATCGAGCTGTTCAATCGCGACTTGGCTCATCCACTCATCGAGTCCCTATAAAGACTTATCGAGTTCTACTATCTGAAATCGGGACAACACGACACAACTCGTCGAGTTCCTTTACGGACTTGATGATTCCTTCTGTCTGTTTGGCCATCTTAACAGATTAGGCCCCTATCTTTTAGATCCAAGGTCCTTAGGTCATCTATCCATTGGAAAGGCCTTCCTAAGGGTAAGGTCTCCAACTTTACCCGTTCATAGGTCTTCTACAAGGGTTTAGACAAAACCCTAGTTCCTTTAAGACATGAATCTTGTCCAAAAGGCCATACAATCTCAAATTCACTCATACAAACCTAGATCTAGGGTTTTAGCGTTTGATGGGCACATAAAGCTCCGAACTTTCCTTCCATGCATGGTCTTTTAGGGCTAAAAAGACCACAAACTTGCTCATATGTTTGCATGGGGCTTCCATGGTCATAAAGTTTGCACCTTTATGCCATGGAACCCTTTCTAGATCCTAGATCTAAGATATGAGTCACTTGGGATGTCTAAGCCCCAAGGACCAAGGTTCTTGACCCAAAACCTTCATAATATGGACATAATTAGACCTAAGAGAAGAATGATCAACTTGGAAACTTGAGTACTAGAAAATGTAGCAAAAGGAGTGTGGTTCCCAGATCTACTCCTTCCCTCTTGAGTCTTCTATCTTCTACTTCTTCCACAAGCTTCACAAGGCACAAATAACACTCAAAAATGGCAAGGAATATCTCAAGATCATTGATGGCGGATTAGGGTTTTGATAATAGGGTTTGGAGGTGATGGAGGCTAGAATGGAGGCCAGATATGATGCTTAAATATGGTGCAAACCCTAAAGATTAGAGTTTCATCCAGCCTGTCCTACTCGTCGAGTCGTTCATTAAAACCCCACGCACAAACTGCTCTTTACTCGATGAGTCGGGGCTACCAACTCGTCGAGTTCCCCTTTCAAAATAAATTAAATACTTAATTAAATGCGTCGCAGGGAATCGGACGTTACAATATGTGTATGTCTGCAATGAAATAAAACTTATTTGGTTCCTAGCATCCATGGTTAACCTAAACCATGGATCATTTGTCTCAATATCATCAACTATTCTTTACAAATAGTTCTCTTTGTATCCAAAACCTTCTTCTAAACCCCTCACCACCAAATACGGTATTTGGAGCAAAATAATCATACACCTGACAATCATGTGTAGTATCAGATCGTGAACACGAGTTATTGCATTTGTTAACCCGCTTGAACTTGTAGTATCTTGAAGAAGATGTAATTTAGCTTGAGCAATTGTTTTCACAGCGCACATGTTATGCTCATTAGATGAAGACACGTCTATTGAACTTGATGATGAAGATGAAACTTGATGGTTACGCATGGATTTTGTTAGGTGTGTAATCGAACTCCTTAAATCTCTTCTATGATTATATAAAATTGAGGGAAAATTTGATTGATTTATTATTATTATTATTATTGTTATTATTATTAATAAGATACCGTGGTTATTCATAGATTTTTTTAAACCTAATGGTTTGAAAGATGCAAGATGTTTGGGGAAACAACCCAAGAGTTTTTCTCTCTTTCCCAAAGGACACATGCTCGTGTTCCCAGCGGGAATATGTATATACCGTCCTTCCAAACTACGTATATATGATGCACTTTTTTAAAGAAACCATATTTGAAACAAAAATACAAAAGAAACATGAGATCATATTTGCCTGGTAAATATTATCGTTTATTTTGGTTAAATATAATGTAATTCATTACATAAAATTCAAGATATGTTTCAATTTAAGTTAGTCCTGAACTAGAATTTCATTTTGAGAAACGTACCTAATGGCATGTAAGTTTTAGAGTTATCAATATCATCATGATACTCAAAACTACGACTCGATTTCGACATTGATTCCGCACGGAGTGCTGCCATAGCCGCCCTCCGTCTTTGCTTCTGTTCTTTCAATCTCTTTATTTGCTCTTCCACCGCCGCTTTTGCCTCCTCCGCCACCTCCGCTCTCGTTGCCGCCTGCTCCGCTCTTGTCCTGAACTCGCTCACTCTCGCCATCGCACTCTCCAAATCTTTCTTCAAATTCTCCATTTCCGGTTCCAATTTAGCTTCCTCCGCTTTCTTCACCAACATCTCGTATTCTTCCAACGAAATCGTGATCTCATGGTCGGAATTTGGAAGTTCCGATTGTAAACCTTCGTTTTCTTTCTTCAGTTCTTGGTTCTCTATCGCCATTTCCTGAAGAGCAAAATAAGCAGCGGATTTTTCGCCTTTAGCTCGTAACTCGGAAGCCTCCGCAGCTGCGGTTTTGGATCTCCCTTTATGAAGCTCGGCCTTCAACAAGGCTATTTCGACTTGTGCTTCGTTCTCTTTGTTACACATCTCTTCCAAATCGGTTTTAACCGTGTCTAACTCACCTCTGATTTCCAGCTTCAACTGAGTCAACTCGCTCTCTAATAACTCGATATGTTTTTCAGCCTCTATCTTCGCGCTCTCTGCCTCCATGGACGAAACTTGTAAACTGAGAATCGTGTCATTGAGCGCATTTGTGTGTTTGATGGCCTCGAGTTTATCATCGGTGGCAGCCACGAGTTGTTTCTCGACTGTAAGAAGCTGATCTCGTGTTGATTTTAAGTCGCTCAACTCATTGGCCATAATTTGGATCTTGGAATGGAGTTCTGATACACGAATCTTTGCTTCCTTGCATTCGTTGATGTATATATCTTTTTCGAATTCCGTGGTCTTCAATAGCATTGAGAGCTCGTCAACGGTTTTTTCGTGGTGATCTTTGTTAAGAAGGGCTTGCTTGTGGGCAGAATCCATGGCTTCTAGTTGAACCTTGCAATTAGCCAAATCTTGTAGGACAACTTCAAGATCTTTCACCTTCTCTGATTCCTGATCCATTTTTCATTTCAAACAAACAATTCATCTTGTGATCAATACGTGGGGAAAAAAAATACAAATTATACTCCACTATATTTGTCCAGAATCATCTATAATAGACGATGACATGCAGATGAAACTGCCTACAACACCGGAGTTAGAAACTTACATCGTCGCTACTAGACCGACTCCTGATCTGACCGCATTTCTCCCCAAAATGCGAAAGAGATGCTCGAACGGATTTGATATGATCTGTATCGATCTCCCCCATACTTTCTTCCCTAAACAATTCAGTCATTATGATTGATATGTACAAAATTGCTGCATATGTTATGTGCCAGAGAGAGAGATGTACCTCGAAAAATTAGGAAGTTATGGAAGTTGATCGTTGAAGATCGTACAAATATGAGAAGGAAATATTGTTCGTACCATTGGGTTTATCGTTTTCGATTGAGGGTTTTGTTGGTTTCCGATAGAATCGAAGACAAAAATTCGGCTCGTTTGTGTTAGATTAAGAAGTTGCGTTGATTTTGATGTATGTATATTAGTATATTATACAATATACACAAATACACACATACATATGAGAGGATGAGAGGTAGAGAGATGGAGTATCATACCGCCGTCCACCTCCACCTAGTGAAGATCGCCGGCCGGCCAGCTGTCTGAGGTAAACCATGGCGCATATAACAGGCAGGAACTCATAGTTTTATTTTCGTCATTATGCTTCGTAGAGATAAGATTTGACTTCACTGAATCCTACAAATTTCAATTGTGTTCTTCCCCGTTTCAGTTGGAGTTAGCTCTTGTACGTAGTGATCCAATTGGTTTACAGTAGGCCCATTCCATTAGTAGTGTTTTTTAGGTAACGTCAGAATTCGGGTTGTGCACGACGTGATCTTGTATTTGACTATTTGAGATAAAATAAACAAATGTCAATAGAAACTACGTTTGATATGTTTATAAAAATAGAATGGTATGATCCTTTTGCAGCAAATCTTACATACTAGGTTCATTTTTGACCAAACTTAGCACACCAATGATCCTTATGTTAGATGTTCGGGGGTTCGTTTGACTATGCTAAAAAATAAGGATGAGCTTTGAAACCGGACCGGTTCGGAACCGGAACCGGTTTTCTTATATTATAAGAACCGGGAACCGGGCTGTCGGTTCTAGTTCCGGTCCCGATTTTTTGGTTATTTTTCAAACAATGATCTGTTGAAATATTATAGATGATGTTATCTTCCGAAGCTTGTAAATGATTTAATATTTAACCAAATTATGACTTTTTATATTCTAAATTAAAATACAAAAATTAAATTACATGATGAAAAAAAATTTAGTAATTCCGACTTTATATGAGTGAGTTATGCACATTTTAAAAGCGGGACAAATTCATAAAAAAAATGTTGAAACAGAAAATATGCAACATTGATATGCTGTCTTCCGAGATCTATAACTGATTCAATATTTAACCAAAATATATGTTTTTATAGTTTAAAATGAACTAAAAACACCAAATTACATGCTGGAAAAAAATTAACTAATTCCAACGTCATATGAATGAGTTATGCACATTAAAAAAAAAATAAGATAGATTAAAAAAAAACAAAAAAAATGTTGAAATAGAGAAAGCGCAGCATCGATATTCTTTATTTTGGAGAATGTGTCTGATTCAGTATCTAATAAAAATATATGTTTGCACAGTAAAAATGAATTACAAACACATCACATATACACACAAAAACACAATCTCTCTCTTACTGGCTCTCTCAAAAAAACACCACCAAGGTCACCTACATCATCGTCTTCTTCTTCAACCACTCACCTACAACTTGATAAACACACATATATACACATAGAGGTGAGTTTGGGTTTGAAATAGGATGCAAGGTTTTGGGTTGTGTTGATTCCAGATTTGGAACTATAGAATGGATTAGGGCTCTAATGTCGACCCATGTATTCTCCATTGCCATCACTATTGTTTAAAAATGTGTTGGGTTAAATTATGGAACACAAATTCATCTTATTCTGAATTTGGATCTGATTTGATCTTCTACTATTTTGGGTCCGGGTATGTTGTATTTCATATTGATGTTCGTGGTTCGTATTTCAAAATAAAAGCTCATAAATCATTTGAATTTGTTTTTGTGTCCTAAATGTGTGGTAGATTCCCTGTGTTAAAATGGTTTTGGGTTATTTCAAGTTGAAGATTATTTTGAGAATTAATTGAGTTCTTCAATGATGTTGTGGTTCGTCGATGTAACAGCCCAAAAATCATAACCAAAAATTTCATTTTTATTTCTCAAAATAACCATACTTATAAAAATCATTTCTTCCAAAAACATAAGTCAAAGTATCTCATCAAAACTCATATCAATATATCAGAGTAAAAACATCTCAGGCTAAACAAATAGTGTGTGCACTGCAGTCATCCCGAGTTCTTCTTTTTGCTACCAGAAGTACCTGAAACAAAAACTGAAAACTGTAAACACAAAGCTTAGTGAGTCTCCCCAAACTACCACATACCATACACATAATCATGCTACTAGGAGAAACGGGCCCCACCCATACTCCGTTGACTACGAGATACGGGCCACATCCACACTCGGCTAACTACGAGATACGGGCCCCGCCCACACTCAGCTAACTATAAGATACGGGGCCCGCCTACACTCAGCTACTAAACATACATACAAATATCACACAGACAACAAGTATAGCCAAATCTATCAAACAATCCTATGTACATACTCAAATAATGTTATGAGATACGAGCCCCGCCCACACTCAACTAATAATGAGATACAGGACTCGCCCGCACTTTATGAGATATGGACCCCGCCCACACTCGACTAACTAGGAGATACGGGCCCCGCCCACACTCCACTGACTATGAGATACGGGCATCGCCCACACTCATATTCTTAACAACACATACAGGTATCACACATACAACAAGTATATCAATGCAACAATATGACTGATATCTATACTCAGGTAATAATGAGATATGGGCCCGCCCACACTCCGTGTTCCTATCAAGAACATACAAACTAAACGGGCCGGAATTTGTGCCTTCGACCCGTTTAAACCAGGAAGAAACTCTCCTCGCATTGCAGATGATCCCTGGCTGGTGGCTGACAGATTCCTGAACTATCAATATCAAAATAAAACCCAATTAACCATTTGGGTTTCAATGCATCACAATAAATACACATTTGGGGTAAAATGACAATTTTACCCCTAACATACTGATGTGTGTAAATTCAACTAGTTTGATCCCTACTTTTTATTAATAATTTAAGCACACAAAGGCAGTGAACCTGTCTTTAAGTGGTATAGATTGATAAGTAAGGTATCAAACTCAGGGAACGAAAATTAAACTAAGAGCTAATTTTAACTAAAACAAATAATAAAAGTAAATGGTTTTTTCTCTAGTTTTGCAAGACTAGAAACTTAAACAACTAAATTAACTAATTAACTAAAGCAACAACTATTCACCAAATTTGATAAAGATGTTTCTATTTAGGTTCAACCAATTCACTCCTATGGTTATTTAAGTTAAGGTAGATTAATTGCTATTGGTTACCAATGATAATAGTTAGGTTCATGTTCATTACTCCTAACCCTTAGACAATTAACTAATTTAAGCGTTGATCAAGTGTTTAAACTAATTAATTCCCTAGATTAATTATTTGGATTAAATAAGATTTGTAATGGTCAATTAAGTTATTAATTCAATTAACCTCTTGTTGATGGTTTCTCAAACAAGCTCACACATTAATCTTCCTATTTTCTTATTAATCTTAGTTTCATACTCATTACTTCCAAGCATACGTTTTAGCATTCACATAGACATATGAGGTTAACAATTAAGTGATGTTCATGCAACCTAATTGCCTTCCAATTAACAGAAAATAGTAGTGATTAATACATAAGGTTCTTTAACAAACTTAATTTAATAAATCACCAATAGACAATTAAACAAAATTCAATAATTAAACCATAGGAGTTCTTTGGTATTCCCCAAACAGAAACAAAAACGAGTTTAGCTCATAGTTGTAGTAGAAACAAGCATAAAAACAAAGTTTATGAAAGCAAACATGTTTAATTCCTAAGTCTAAGTGGTAGAATTAACCTAATTGCTTGAATTCTTCCAACTCTTGAAGCTTAGGGTTCCTTAGCGCCTTCTGAACCTTTTAGTCGCAGCTAATCCTTCAAAATTCGCCAGGGTTCTGTCCCATGAGATAAGGATTCGTCTTTTAAAGATATCCCAAAACAGAGGGTACTCGGCGAGTAGCAGAATCAACTCGCCGAGTAGGTCAATACTTATCCGTCTTTAGATTAGCAGTCGTATTTATCTTCTGGCATATCATCGTGTACTCGCCGAGTATGGTCGATCTACTCGCCGAGTAGGTCAGTCTTTTCACTCTTTAATCTTCACTTGCTTTCCCTTTTCTCCTCTTTGCCTCCAAGCATATCTTCTGGACTGAAAACACAATTCAAAGCATTTTAAGTACCTTTTGTCCATATTATTTTCATAATTAACCAAAAATAACTAAGAATATATGTTAAATAATTAACTAATTATGCACATATCAAAATACCCCACACTTGACTTTTGCTTGCCCCCAAGCAAAACTATATTTTAAACACATTAAAATCACATTAATAACTCCAATCCTTCCCAGCCATTATGCCAAGACCGCAACGCATGCATTTGTGTCTAAAATCCTAAAAACCCCCCATACTTCAAATACTCACAATCCTCATAAACATTCGCCCACTCACCCCGAACTATGCTCATTTTATGCAACCCTCCGAATCCATCCTCAGAAAACCTCTTTACCCTCAAGGTATTTTTAATTGAGCAACCCAAGCATACATAATCTAGAAAATTACAATTTATGATACCACTATGGAGCTCTTTGGAATTCTTCATTTCTTGATAATTTGATCTTGGATATCTTTGAATTCACCACCTTTGTTGTTTGATTTTTGGTATCTTCAACTTTTTGAATTTCTTCGAATTTTGATCTTCAAATCTTTACTTCATTTGCTCCAAAATTCTTACAATTTTTCTTATAATTCTCTCTCTCTTTTTTTTACATGTATACCTCACTTTTTTTTTCAAATCCCTACATGCTTAAGCAGGGGCGCTCAATCTCAACCTTTATTGGCTAATGATAAAAATTTTCCTGGATACATTTCAGGTTAGGCTGCTAAACATATTGCATCCCTCAGGCTGAGCAAGGTCGTGTTTTTGTCTCATGATTTCACTGAAATAAGGAAGCCACAAATGCACTAGAACGTATATAGGCTCAACTAAACATTTGGGTTCTCATGCAATTATTAACACAATCTTAATATGGAATCCTAATTTTTTACCAAAATTTTCTACTTTAAGACCTAATCATTTTGAATATTCAACAAATTTAAAAATTAGCCTAAATTAAGATTCTAAGTGTTCTAAGATGTGACTAACCCCTACCCCACACTTATTTTATGCAATGCCCTCATTGCATATTATAACAACTTAAAAAAATGCAAATAGAGAGAAAGTTGGAACAAACTCCCCTGGGGTAGCAGTCGCTAGGTTGACACTCTCTTCTTCAACTCCTTCTTCTAGTGACTTTAACCATGGGAACAGCTCATCCATGGCATGGGTGCCATATG